CCCCCCCCCCCGCGCGCGCGCGTATCAACATCGCTCGTAAACAACTGCCGACCGAAACGACAGAAACCAACGGTCTCTGTTGCCTCAAGCGACACCGCTTGTGGAGCCTGAGCCTGCCGCTAGAGACGCGCGCCTTGCCCAATGGGGATGAGGTGGCGGTGCGAAGCACGGTGGTCGTCTTGCGGCTCAACCTGGCCGAGGAGGAAGGCCGGGGGCCCGGTAGAGGGCGGGAGGGGGTGGGGGGGGTGGGGGGCACCGCGGCGAGAAGCGCGGGCGCCGCTGCGATCGAGCGGTGAGATGTCAAGCAAGCCCGCTGTTGATATACGTAGGTATGTCCTGCCCAGAAATGGAGAATGTGCCTGGCACAAGTTTTAACATATTTTTTAAACATGCGCCGGTTTCACCCTTGGTTGCTTCCTTTACCGCGAGCGGCAACTTTTCCGACTGTCTCAATCGTCACACGCCGGCTCTACATGTACACTCCATCTGTGTGCGTCGCGGCTTTTCTTCCACAGAGGCCCCCGCCCTAAGGACACTCGTGCTTTTTTTGCATAAAAGGTGTCCTTTGGGAGGGGAAGTGCCATCTTAGTCGTACACCCCCCGACAACAGTCTTGTGATTTATGCGGTGCACCATGCTTTTGAATGATATCGTGCCCTTGAAGCTCGGAGTGTCATTTTTGTGTGCCCTTTCAGCGGGTATGTCTGTGCCGATACTTGCTGAAGCACGGCACAGTTTGTGGTTTTGGGCACTTGACCTCTCCGTACCTGTGCTTTCGAACAGTGCATGGAACTCCGAACCTCTCTCTCTCTCTCTCTCTCTCTCTCTCTCTACTCGCTCTCTTTCGTACCGAACATCGTGTCGGCTTGTTGTGTGTCTATCCACAGGGGTTACCTGTGGCTCTCGTGTGACACCAACGAGGCTCGGGGCGAGCTGGTAGAGCGCATAGTCGAGTGGCATCAGTGGCGCCCGTCCCCCGCACGAGGGAAAGATCGCGGTGCCCCTGATGGTGTTGACGGGGGGGTTGGCGGCGGTCCCCTTCACTCGGCAGCGGATGCAGCACGACAAGCGTCGGCGACGGCGGCAGGGAGATTAGCGGCAGCGCCGCAGTCAAGGCGCGGTGATGCTAGTGTAAGTAACGGCGGCGGCGGCGGTAAGGGGAGAGGGGCCGCCGGTGGCAGCAGCAGTTTTGGGTTTGGGTTCGGGGAGGAAGAAGAGAGCGAAGACGAGGAGGAAGAGTCGTTGGAGGTGGACCAGATCTTGTTGAGCGAGCTCGTGGGAGACCTTGGGGAGGAGCGCAGCCTAAACGTGACCGCGCTGCTCCTGGCAGACACGGAGGCCCTCGAGCCCGCGGACGTCGCTATCCGGTAGTAGTGGCAGCAGCAGCAACACCAGCAACAGCAACACATTAGCAGCAGCGACGGCGGCGGCGGGATCGATCGCGATCGCTTTCTCTGTGGGTCTTTTGTTGTCAGCATAAACCGTGCTAATCCGGCTGACCAATGAAAAGACGCTAAACTCAGTGCGGTTGAAAACACAAGATGATTTTGAAGGTCATCATGATCTGGGACACCCCGTGAGGGAGCGTCATTCTCGTTTGGCCGTCGTAGGTGCGATCGTTGCCGCCGTAATCGCTGCGGCTAGCCACTCAAGATAGATAAACATGCATCCCTTTCCGGCAGATGCGCAGCTCATGTCTTTTTTTCTCTGTATTTTTACGTGGTGGGTGGATGGATAACCGCCCATCCGATGGTGTATCTGTTATAGTCCCTTCGAGGCCTCGTCGTTACGTAGCATCTCAAATGTTTAATTGTACGAGTCACGTTTCGTTATTGTGGTGTATCAAGTGCTGGCTGAGGGCGTTGACCTGCGACCCAGTGCCATTCATTGTCGTAGCGAAGCGCTCGCGCGGTGCACGCTGCAACACTTTGTGTACAGCAGCAACAGCAGCAGTGTTGCGGTATTCGATGGTGTTCTTCTGCTTGCATGTGGTAGCCCGTCAGTCCCTCTGAAGGTTGCAGTCTCCCTCTCCTGCTGTATCAGAGTATGCTGTTTTTGGCGATGTGAGAGGATTGTTGGCTGTTTTGTTTGTACCAACGAGATTATTGGGCACGGCTGTGCGGTTTTGAGTTTTGTTCCGCGGCATGATGGATGGACCTCTGGTGGCGTGCGGTATTTTGTCTCTTCCGATATGCCACAGACGGTGCCACCAGTGCGCCAACACTGCCCCTCTCTGTGGTGTCGTCGTCGCACGGTGTGTTGTTGTCCCCGTGCAAGCCCAGCTTCGTCGCGCAGAGCTAACTCAGTTGGTTCGCGTTTTCCGCACTCGATGGGATGTAGCGTAGACTTTCACGCAGACCTCCCCTTCTCCAAAAGTTATTGGGCGAGACAGAGGAAGTGGTTGGGGGGGGGGACGTCCATCCTCCCCGACGGGGGGGGGGGGGCATCAGTCCTCTTTTACTTGAGAAGGACGTAAGAATTGTGTGTTTTGGGAGTGGTCTAACCAGGGAAGGGAGGCTAGGACGCGGAAGGGGGAGATCTATTGGAGCTCGAGCTTGGTGTTGGAGCACGATCCGAATGCAGATCTAAGGACTACAAGGAAAATAACACTATGTTTTTCTCGATTGCAAAGCGCGAGGAAGGGATGATGGACGTAATTGCTGTTTTTTCGTGTTCGAGAGCGTTGCCGACAGCGGCCTCAGCACGGCGGAGGCAGCAGCAGCAGCAGCAGCAGCAGCAGCAGCAGCGCATGATGCTAGGCCCGACGGTGGTCCCATGGGCGGAGATGGAGGATGAGGTCGGCACAATCCGTTGTTTTTTGACGTTTTGTTAATGGTGGTGTTAAAGTACGTCGAAGTAGGCTAGGTTGTGGAGGCCTTTGTTGGTGGGTAGTGGTCCTTGTCTAGTCGCCTCTTCGATGTCGCTGGTGGCGGCGGAAGGCTGCGTGACAAATAATTATTTTTTTATTTTTTCCAGTGGGACGAAAGGACAGCTAAATACCACGCTACCGAGTACTAGCTTGCTTTTGCAGGATTTCCCCAGCTCAGTCATGTACAATTTTCTTCTCCTTTTTGTGAGAAGGACGCTCCGCAACTACAACACGACCAACCCCGGTCTTCGCAGTCGGAACCGTCTTCACGATTGTGTTTGTCGTCGCCTTCGACGACCAACAAAGTGCGTGCCACGTGGCGCCGCAGCTTTCGAGTTTCCCCCCATGGTTGACTTTTTTGTTTTTGCTCTTGTTCTTGATCGTGGCGTTGTAATTGTGCATGGCGTCTTTCCACGGCCAGTATTTAGCTCACGAGAAACGGTGTAATACGGCACACACCCCCTGTGCACCAGGAGGGTCGTGCAGGAAGAAAGAACGCGACGAATATTGAGTGTATGTAATCGTGATAAAATAGGCTCGTGTGTGTTTTTAGACATTCGCTGTCGTCGGGTTGTGGACGACGGTATTCAGTAGTCATGATAGCCACCGGTCTCTTAGTTGTTCTGTCTTTATTATCTCTTCAATTCGTGTGCTGTTTTTGTCCTACGAGCACCGCTCGGTGGTGTTGTGGGAGAGCGTGTTTGTTGTGTGTGCTTCGGCCGCTCGCTGTGACTAGGAAGTGGTGATGTGGGGGAGAGCGTTTTTTTGTAATTTCATACCTACCACACACGTGTGTGTGGATTAGCGAGGACGAGCGATTTGTGTGTTTGTTTTGACGTAAGTCAAGTAGGGTGTGCACCAAGTGCGGCCTTGCACAAGAGATGGTCTACTATTTTGACCCATCCTATGCATAGGGTGCGCATTCAGGCAGTTGCAAGCAGTGGGCCTTGCGCAAGGAAGATCTGACGTCTTCGACATCCATCCATCCTTTTTCTGTGGCCGTACAGGGAGGTGTTCCAAAGGTCGCAGCAGCCAGTATTCCTTCGTGCTGCTATTTCTACAATATAACACCTGAACTGTCGTTTTGCTGTTGGTTTTTCTCGTCGATGGTTTGCCTACGAACGTGTGAAGTCGGTATCTATCATACATGAAATCGATTTTGATGTTAACCAAGGAAGAACGAACGCAACAAAGAGATTTTGAGAGCACTCCAAAAATAATAGGAAAATCCGTGATCAACCGATTACGTCACATCCACGGTCCTGAGATTCAAAATTTTCAAATTTTCAAACTTGCCGTGGATGACTGACTGATGACCTCACACGGCAGCCAAGGGATATCAGCCATCATCGTAGACAGGTTCCCCACCACATACATACTTGATGACGGCGACCACACATTCATCATCATGCTGTCACGGGTCCTTTTTTTGTTGATTGGCCCCAAGCAAGTAGAGTCGGAGTTTCATGTGCTCTGCAGCCTACAGCAGCAGCAGCAGCAGTAACGCCACAACCACACCACACCGCATCAAGCAGCGATTGATTGTGGCGGAACAAGGAACACCTATTTAGTACGATCGACAATGGATCATCTATTCCTCTTCACGTGATCGAGTCGCACCCACACGACGACAGATCGATGTCGCCAACACCATCCACTGACTGACTGGGATTGTGCCCTCGGGCGAAGAGCCAACCAAGAGAGAAGGATAAGTTGGCATTGGCACATGTCAACACGAAGATGGAATGGTCGTATTCCACTCCTGCTGCTGTTACAACACAGTATTCTATCACTAGTAGCAGCTACCATAGATTCCTCGTGGAACAAATCAATCTGTCCGTACAATCGCGAGTGGTACGGCTGTTGCCTACACGCAGACACGCACATACGTGAGATGAAAGCGGTTCAATCGGTAGACTGAAATGCCGAACCTTTACCTTATGTTGGAACCTGCTCAGCTGCTGTGCCCCCTTCTCGATTTAAATTGCGAGTTGGCTCACTCAACACGAACATGGCCGAACTCACATCGACGCATCCTCATCTGAGGAACCCAGGTTAAGGTTGGCGATGGTTGTGGCGATTTTGTGGGCGCTTATCGTGTCTCTTCTACGTTGCCAAATCAATTCATCAACAACACTACTATGTCGTGTGTTGCATCGCCCAGCCGTTGGGTTCTGCCCCATTGATTCAAATCGAGGTAAGCACGGCGGCGGCAGCGGGAGACATTGACACGTCGCTCGGTGGACACGAGAAGAGAGCTTCCCACGTGTGTGTGACCGCGTGTACAAGTATTCTCTCCTCCGAACGACCCGTGACGGAAGAGCGCACCTTCCTCTCGTTGATATACGGATGTGGTATTTGGATGCGTGCGACATCCATCGAGACTACTGCCACTGCTGTATAGTCTAGACTAGACTGCGATTCAAAAAATTCTCCCGCAGATTGAAAATCCAGCATGGTCAACTTGAAAGTATTTGAAAATACGGTCGCTTCCCCTTACTCGTACGGCCGCGTATGCGAGAATCGGGGCGGCGTTTGCTTGCAACGTGTCCGCACCCAAAAAAGGCCAGGCCGGGCTTAGATGTGTGACACATGCTTTGAACGTCAGCTTCAAGGCCCGGACTTGGGAATAGTCCAGCGTCGTCCGAGTCTTGGCGTGAATGCGGGTGATCAACCGAGGCTGATGGTCCAGGTCGTTGTCAAATCGACCTGGGAGTTGAAACACCAACCATCGCACGCATCTTTCTGACATTACGCCTTCATTGTTCGCGTGGTCTTTGTTTGACAAATGTCGCAGGAAGACGAGGGAATCAAGAAAGCGGGCGGCTCTGAAGAAGGCCGCAGAGGGTACGCCTACACTGAACACGTTCTTCGAGGTGCGTTTGCATTTGGAGGAGGAGGAGGAGGAAGCTATATGACACAGCCTGCTAGCGTGTACAGCAGCACTCCCACGAGAGAGTAGTGAGCATGAATGTTGGCCCCTTTTGCCACATGAGTACCGAGACCAGTATTTCCCGACGGTTGCAGTAACAACAGAGCACTTGGTTGACACTACATCCTCGCGTGCGTCCTGGCTGCCCCTGCCCCTGCTCCTGCCCGAGCCCCTCAGCAACCGTTTGGCGTCCCCGACGTCGGCGAACATGCACGTGCCGAGGGCACCCAAACATCACCAAGCGCCGGCAACACGTTTCATGAGTGGAATTAATGGGACAGCAGTGACGTATCGGGGGGACCTGTCGCCGCCGAAGGAACGAGGAGGTATCTGTCGGCTCCGTCGTCGTCACTCTTCGTCGGGGACGTGTTGAAGGTACGAGGAAAGTGGCTAGGTTAGGGTCCTCAATGGGGTCGGATTTGGTCGGCAGGAAGTTGGCGTTGGGTGTCGTTAGTTGTGATTGGCGTCTATGTCACGCGGACTCAGAGTGTAACGTTAGTGGCCAGTGTTGGCTACACAACAGACGGCAGCAGGTATACTGCAGTCGATGCTTGCTTTCCTTCCTTTTATTTTTCAGTGCGGTACTACTATATACCTGCAAATTCGCGAGGATTGTATATTTTCCCTCACGAACACCAAACAAGCCTCGCGTAGGTTTGCACTTTTGTGTCAACTTGTCATGCACACCTCCTCGCCCCCATACCATCACTCTGCTCATCCGCTCTTCGCTTCAAACGAAAATGGTACGTATTTTAAAATATTGCTGTAAAACACGGTGTTGACGACGACGTTGACGGACTGCATGCGAGAATTGTCCAGACCGAAAAGCCATCCAGCCTTCCACTCTTATACTGAACGTGCAGGCCGGTGATGAAGGGAATGACGATGCGTCGGCGCCCCCAAGATCGCGGGGGAAGGGGAAAGCCCGAGGGGGGGACGACCAACCGAGCAAGTGGGCCCGCACTGTACCCCCCCAGTTCAGGCTTCGATGTAAGAAACAAAGGAGGAAATTGATCGGTATGATTAGGTTCCACTTCCCTTTGATATCGGTGTCGTGCTGACTGACATCACCCAAATATTGCGCAGCACGTTGAAGAGTGACTACCGTGCGTAGATCATCTGTTTAGCAATGCTGGTAAACCACAGCAATATCGGCTTAAGACTGGCATATTCCGTTCCCTTGCAGATTGCTGACATCGAGGCCGCGACCAGGAACAGCCCCTTGTCGTTGGGCGGCAACGGCGGCGGCGGCGGCGGCGGCGGTCCCAGACATCATCGATTTCACCAACGAAGGCGATGGTGGCGGTGCCGACGGTGCGAGGCGCCCGGTGGTCGCGAGCGGGGCGGGGGACCGAGGTTAGTCTAATGAATGATTAGTCGTGCAAGTACTTTTGTGATTGATCGTATGTCGTTTGGTTCAGCCAACCTGCCACCTTTTCTCGTTCGAGGGGCCGGTGATAACTTTGAAGTCATCACACACTCACTGTCGTCAGGTTAGACGGTGTGACCGCTGTCGTCCACTCTGTAAGCTTCCGGCCTCCCGCCCCTTCGGCAACCCACCAGTGCCCCTCCCTCCCGTTCCGGTGCCCCTCTTCTCTTTTTGTGTGAAAGGCCGGTTCCAAACCACTCCTAGAACCCCATCAGGAGGTTTTTTTCAAGGCAGTGGAGGTGAGCATGGCTGATTCCTCGTTCGTGTGTGGTCAACGCAGCAAGTTCGAAGAAATCGCCCAAGGCACCGCCGAACACATACATGACCGATGCAACACCGTAAGATGTTCTCCGGGCTGCATGCCGCGAGTACACCATAGGGCGAGTACTTGCACTCGACTTGGTACAACAAAGGGAGCTCAACCGCACGGAGCTACGAAATGGCGGTATGGAACGGTTGGACATCACGAGGAGGTTCAAGGGACGCTGCAACTACTTCAACGTGTATCGGTGGTCCGACAAGGCAGCAGCGCTCCGAATGGTCGGTGCATGGGGAAGCGAGATGGGCGTAGGGGTGCAGCTGTGCGGCGCCGTCCGGGCGAAGATCAATGGACATGATTGGACAGCTGGTCCGCTGCGACTAGTGATGTCCGGCGAGGGTCTGCTTGATTCGGCGGCGAAGTACGACAAAGGTCTGCTCAACCCACCCACCGAGGAGAGAGCTAGACTGCCTCGCCAGGAGAACGGGAGGGTCGCAAACGACGGACGCGCCTGGTTGGTGCCGGCGGGGCTGGTCTTGGCGGGTGATGGCACCCTCCAAATCGTAACATGGGAGACATACATATGGCGGACAGGCGATCCGCATTTATCTTCGCGGGAGCTGCACGAGGCCATCTTACCGCTCGGGTTTCTCCGGGGCCTAGTTTTCAGTCGGGGATCCACCAGCCTGAACCAAAAGCTAGGCGGTACCTTCACAGACGAGCAAAGAAGGCGCGGGGGTAAGTTAGTCTGTACTTGTGAGTTGTTCGGTGTCTGTTTCTGGATGCTATTTGACTTTTGGAATGAAAATTTGACAGTCGATCGAACAGAACGCGATGCCTTAGAAGCGAGCAACTGATGCATGGTTGGATTGGGCCTATTCCCCCCGCCCGTCGTGTTCGTTGCAGGCGTTTCTGTTTCTGTTGATGTTTTTAATGACGCTGTGGTGACCTCTCCTCTGCTCATATTCTTGCTTTTCTTTTTGTTGCAGCAAGGACGGCGACGGTGGACGGCGCCAAAGTGAGAATCCCCATGGCCGTGGTGGAGGGGAACGAGGCGCCTACACCCCTCCAGCAGAGGACGATGGATCAGCGCTCGGAAGACTCCTCCCGCGGGGGTAAGTTGTGGTTTCTCTTTGTGTTGTTGTTGTTGTTGTTGTTGTTGTTGCCGCCAAAGCGTGCTATTTGACTTTTGGAATGAAAAATTGACAGTCGATCGAACAGAATGCGATGCCTTAAGAGCGAGCAACTGGTGCATGGTTGGATTGAGCCTATTCCCGCCGCCCCGTCGTGTTCGTTGCAGGCGTTCCTGTTTTGTGTTGTCGTTATTATTTCATTCTCTGCACCCGTTCCATTCCCACCCGCTCCCGCCTCTCATGATACAATAGTTCATCCGACGCAACCACGGCATCCCGCTCCCTTGTGCATTTGATATATGTCGATATAATAGCGTGCAATAGACCCTATCAAGCAATGCATATGTTGTTGTTGTTGTTCCTTATATTTCTTTTTGTCGTTCTCCGTACCTCGTCCCTCGCGCCTATTTACTCGTTCTGTCGTTTTCCCGACATCAACCCATCGTTGTCTCGACACGGCCGTGGACGCCCAGGCCGAACTGGAGGTGCATAATAATAATTCCTCGATTGTTTTTGTTGGTCACATTACAAGCCGCCTCATTGGCAATCAAGTCAAGTTGTGCCCCGCACCCCGTTTACTCCGAGCATCCCCGCTCCGTTGTGTATTTGATATGTCGAGCAAAGCGTGCAATGGACCCGTGGGATGAAGTTTCCGCCCGTCGTGTTCGTTGCAGGCGTTTCTGTTTGTGCTGTTGTTGTTGTTGCTTCCTCAAACCGACTCCCTTCAATCCCCGTGTCTACTTGGACTTACCCGGCTTTCACATCGGCCCAGCAGCCGTTACATGGGAAAATAGAATAGACAACAATTCGGTTGGTGCGGGACCGAATGAGAACAAGGCCACGGCGAAACGGAGGGACATCCCCATCGATGCGGGCGACGAGGGGGGGGAGGAGACGGGCAACAAGCCCGCTGTCAAGACACTCACCGCACGCGGTCTTTGTCTGGGGTACTCCGCCCTGGGCCTGGTCGCCAACCTCCAGACCGCGATCGACCTAGACACAGGCGCCATCAAGGTGAACCCTTCGCTTTGGTGTGAAAAACCGAAGTTCGGGGAGCGGGGGCTCACTAAGCGAGAGAGTGAGTGGAAACTGAACGAGAGCGGGAGCATGATTCTCGGGGAACACAATAGCAACGGTACGGTCGAGCACCCCGGTTGCCAAGTCGGGGGTACGGTCCCAGTGGTCTGGGACAAGGTGGGCGGGAGGTGGCTTGTGCCGAAGTGGGCTCTGCCGTACGTCAAGGCGGGCAATGTGATTCGGAGGGGAACCAACAACAGACAACACAATGGTGCCAACCAGAGGTACAGCGCCAAGAGGGCGGGGTGGAAGTAACAGGACTGGTTATCGCTTCCGCCGTGTATATACCATTCGTACAGGGGAGAAATTCTTATAATGTGGGCACACGGCCGAGATTGGATGGATCGGTGGCCAGCTTGCCTTTTGCGCCCCCCTTTCGATTCACCGATACTTTGATCCGGTCATCCACCCCCAAGTAGAACTAGCAGACTACCGTGTACGATTGGGCTTTCCAGCAAGATTGTGGCGCACCCAGGCATGCACGTATAATGCTGACAACGGAAACAAAGCTTCCTTCCGCTTCTGAGTGTGAGGGTCTCCGCACCGTGTCACAACGTTGTCTCTGATCGCGTTGTCACGTTTGGAGACCACACAACATTATTGTGCGAGCATCCACAAGCGAGAAGACACGATAGACAGTCGGACACAGGAACAAAACGACATAAACACGAAGGAAATTGTAGTTGGTTGTGCAAGTCTGCTCATTGCTCCCTCGCGGCAGCCATATCGAACCGCTTTCGCAACGCTCCATAAGTATACATATGCACCTTCTTGCCTTCTCAACGTCACAACACGCACACGTTCGAGGTACGCGTCAACATCGGTCGGCAAATCTCCACAAACGACATAATTCAAAAGGGCTCATACGTCCCGCTAATGATACATCAGCTCACCAATCTTCCATCCCATTCTAATGTTGTGTTGTTGTGCGGACCGAGGTACTTGCTACATGTAGAGGGAAGGGTGATACCATGATTACCTTTGATCCAATCAAAGCCAAAATGCAGTGGCATTGTTTCCCGAATGTTTCACTGTTACCCTCCATAACAAGACTTGTAGCACCACAATTGTCGAACGTACCGAACAAAATTTGATCTACGGCTACCGATCGCGCGTCTATCGAAGTGGTCTAAATCCCAATCGGGTGGGTGATGGTAAAACCACCTTCAAAACCACCTCCGAGTGAGGATATGCACACGCTGAATATGCCAACCAAAATAATCGGGATAGTCTACATTATACATTTCTGTATGTCGAAAACTTGACCACGGGAAACTCTCTCCCTCCCTCCCTATCTCTCTGTCCACCCCACGTTTGTGACAAAAATGACGCGGTGTGTGATTCAACGGCAACACCGACAACACCCCACGTTTGTGACAAAAATGACGCGGTGTGTGATTCAACGGCAACACCGACAACCAAGTGTTTCTTTTTCTCTTTGGTATCGGCACCAATCAATCGTACAACCCACACTACTCGTTCGCGTCCTGTCCGACCCACGAGTTGTTATTTGTATGAATAATATATTTTCATGTCTTTATGGACCCTGGCTACTGTCGGAGACAGAGGCCGGTGCCTTGGCAGTATTATCCCACTGCCAGGGGAAGGCTATTTCCTCTCGTGATATGTAACGAGGAGAAGAGGGTAGAAAGAAAGAGTGGCCAGAGAGAGCAGAGGGAGAGGAGAGTCGAAGACTCTCCGCTTCTCCTTTCGGCAAGTGGCCATGGACTTCGGAAAGAGACAAATCTCCGACGGTGCGTTTCTTGTCACGCTCCCAGTGACAAGATACCCCGATGGAGCTATATCTTCCTACACTTTGTATGTGCACTCATGGTTGGTTACACTCCCGACAGGTGTCCTCCACATCACCCCCCCCTCTATGCGCCACAAGTCCATCTGTGCTAAAGATGTGCTTTTGGCGGTCAGAGACAGAGTGGCTGATGGAGACACATGTATCGGAGTTAATCTACCTGGTACAACATCATCAACTCGGCCTGATCATCGTACAACGCGTGTTAAAAAACACGGAGTCCTCAGACGGAGTACAGTAGGGGGCCCTCTATAGTGCCGGTATGTGTTCAGAGAGCAAAGCGGCACTATACCGGGCACCGTCACTATTCAGAGTACAGAAAGACTTGATATTCCGGTGTGTGCGAGCCGAAAACACCGGCACTATACCGGCAACCGGCACTATTCAACGGGCACTATATCGGGCCACCCACTGTAGTGATAGATGTGGTCCATACTAGTATAGTCTAGAAAAAAAACAATTTGAGTACTGGGCTATCATGATGACAGCTAGTGTACTATAATATTTCGCATGATCATACTCGTGTAGCATGCTATGCTGTGGGGTTGATGAGGGATAAATTTGTAATGAGGTGACCCTCTGGCAAGCTTNATTCACCGGAAAATAAGATCTTGATGCGGGATGAACTTGTAATGAGGTGACCCTCTGGCAAGTTTATCTATTCATCAAAAATAAGATCTCGATGAGGGATGAGCTTGTAATGAGGTGACCTTCTGGCAAGCTTATCTATTCATCAAAAATAAGATCTCGATGAGGGATGAGCTTGTAGTGAGGTGACCCTCT